CCACACATAGGTTCATATCAGGATAAATACCAGTGTGCTTTTACTAAAATCATAATTCGCTGAAATAGCTGGCAAATCCAGCTGATCCATAATGTGTTAGCAATGCTGAGGACTTTCCCCTGCTACATGAAAACCTCATGCGATACCCAAACAGTTACTAAACAGATTAGTACCTGATATATTTTCTTAGACTTTCACAAAGAATGATGCTCTTGCTTTAGTAACACCCTGGTTTTAATTTGAAAGTCTCAAGGTCTAAGTGATGGACATGCATGATTCCCACAGCCTTAACTGTAACAACCGTAACAGCATCACACTGAAATATTATTGTGAGCACAGAAAGCATTACACAGCCTGAGCATTAACACTGTCAGGATGTTGCACAAGGTCACAGAGTCGCTTCAAACTTCATAATCTCTTTATTTTAAAAAGTCGTTAGTTACAGCTTTAATATTTTTGCCTTATTGTGGAGTAGCAGCTTAAAAAGTAACTGTTCAACAGCTCTTCTGTGAAGTAAACCGGAGATCCCTGTTGGCAGATGAAGGGTTACAGATAACAATAGGTTTTGCATTGTTGCCATTGTGGTCATGACCAGGGCAGACAGCTAAGTAGAGGCAGTCTGAGAAGGTTCCCGTGCAGAAGGCAAACAGCGGTGTCATTTTGTCCGCCTCGAGAAACATCACCAGCCCTGCAGGAAAACTACACAAAACACCAATCCGGCAGAAACGCTTCGTGAAAGGCAGCTGATGCGGAACGCCTCCATGCCAGGCCGTATACTCGCCATCAAAAAACTCCACACACCAGGACTCAGGCCCGCGGCCGAGCCAGCAGTCCTCAGTTGTGCCCTTCCGAGGAATGTTGGGGTAGGTGACACCGAGCTCCCAGTAAGTCTTCCCAGTTACATCGATTTCCCAGTAATGGCGACCAAAGCTGAAGCCCTGCAAACTGATGACATTGAGGGTAGTGTCAAAGCGTCCAGGTAAGTCAGGAAGTTGCTGCCAGGTGTCCGTATATGTGGCACTATCGCCTTGGGGAGAGATGATCAGCTTTGGGTGGGCGGTTTCTGGATCCAGGCACACCTCGCTGGAATCTGGAGATATTTTACATTTTGGAATTCAACAATGTTTTAATTGAATGTTTGATTGTAATCATAAATAATATATAAATATGTGAACTGACAGCTCTTGATGAGTTTCTTGATCATCGGGGTCTGGGAGCAGATAAGCAGGAGCATGTTATTGGTGAGGCTGATGATCTGCTCAGCTTTAGCTTCATCCAGGCTCACACTGCTTGGGTCTGTTTGGTTTAGCAGATCAATCACTCTAGTGGAGGCACACAGTAAGTAAAAAAACATATATATCATCTGTTGGTACGTACAATATGAAGCTTATTTCTATGATAGATTAGAATTAATTTCCCTACCTGTCTGCTGTTTCCATGTCTTCCTGTTCAGGGTATGAAAAGAACGACTGGGGGAAAAAGCAAAAAATAATCTCGATTATTTTTATTTTATCAGATTTATATTTTTGTTAAGACAGGAAACACAACATTTCCAGTTATATCTGGCTATTGTCAACTTTTTCACCATTGTATCAGGCTCTGTGTCCGTTTGGTCCAGTGCCAGAGTGAGTCTAGCCAGATCCTGCTCTATCTCCTGGATCAGAGAACAGTTCCTCTCCATGAGCTCATCCAAGGCAGAGACAGCAGCCCGCTCTTCCATCTCCAGGTGGGACAGGGTAATCCTCAGGTCCTCATCCAGGACAGCTTGGATTTCTTGATATTTCCGAATGATACTCTTCCTTATCACTGAGGACTTTTTCTGAGTCGGGCATACATATTTAGAAGTTAATTGCAGCCCTGTCACGAGTAATTATTTCACCTCTCTGTTCTGTGAACGGAACGAAACTCACTGTGATTTCTGACTGTCGTGCCGCGAGTTTCCTCAGCCTATATTTGACTGCTTCTCTCTGCTTCTTTAGACACTCTTGGTGCTTTCCCAGTGTCTCCTAAAGAAAGGGTTTCACACATATTGAGAAAACCTCAGTTGAAGCTAACAAAGTGGATCTGGCAGTGAAGTGCAGCTGCAAAAGCAGACGCTCATTATGATGCAATGATAACGGCAACAAAGCAATGACCGACAGGAAAATACTTCTATCAGCCATGACAGTCTTGTTTCAGACTTGTTATAGTATGAATCATTGTATGAAAGGGTTACGATTTCGAACTTTTACAATATGCTGATGACTTACTTTTATACTTATCATGTGCTTTGGCAAACCTTTGTTATAGTTTTACCATCACAATGTTTCTCACACATACCGTACCTTCACACAGTGGGTTCATTGCTTCTTTTTCTTGGATGAATTAGAGAAAATGAAGTTCTCTGCAAGGTCCAAGAAATTGTTACCATTATTAGCACCATTACTTGTTTAAAGAATTGAACTACTTTTCCTTTTTTTCTTTTCTTTTAGCTCTTTTCTGTCACTCCTGCATGGATGATTTCAGGTATGTTAAATTTGTATAGTAGCTTCTTGTTTCAGTTTTCTCCCAGTCGTCACTGCGAGGTGACCTCTAAACGCACCATATAGTGTTTGTCAGCTGTCACCTCACATTAAATTCAAAGGAAAATCTGATATATAAGCATGTCCGGCTTGATTGATTCATTTGTTTCTCACCTCTCCTTCTGATTGTATTTGGCCTTCCTCTGGTTTAGACCCAGAATTGCCAAACCTCCGATTATGATGAAATTCCTGGGGGTGTGCGATATGCACCTTGAATCTTCTCATTCGTTCTCTTAATGTTTTTTACACTGTTAACTTATTATGACTGACTTTTGAAAAAGAGCACAGCTTTTGGTTAAATGAGTACTTAACTGTTATTTGATGTACGGTACACATACTGTATATAGCCTGGTGGCGTTTCCTATATTTCATTTTTGTCTTTATGGAGTTTTTCTTTAGTTTTGTCACTAATCTAATGCTGTAAAAGAAAACAAGAATCAGAAGTGACTCGGACTGTTGGAAAATGGTCTTCATTTCTGCTTACAGCACTCAGCCATACCTCGCAGTGCCAATTTGTTTGTAAATTTATGTAAATATCACTCAAAAAATACACATCTCCTCTGTGGCATGTGACACTGCAATCCTTCATTTTTATCCCATAATAATATCCCTTTCTGACTGAATGAGGCCACACTGAAGTTTTCAAATGTATGCGCTGCACAAGGGATGCATTAATACTTAAGAGTTATACTGTTTGACTTACTGAAATTCTTCTTGTTATAAACTATTTATTCAAAGATGTGTGTAATGCCATTTTAAAAAAATCATTTTGATGTTTGTTTCATTTGTTTACAATATTTGTCACTACAGATTGTCCCATGCTGTGTACAAGTGTTTCCTAAAGAATGGTGTAGTTGATGTTTGGTTACTGTGCTGAATGATGAAGGGTTGACACCAGAAGAGTGATTCGACTCCGGTGAAATAGAAAACTTCTCACCTTAAATGTGAACACACAGGCCTCCGAGAAGAAGTCAGTCACGATAAGCTACTCGTATAAGTGCAATATGACATGAATGCAAACCCGGAGAGGAAACAATTTATAAATAGGTTTTTATACTTAGATGGATTCCATTTCTCACCATGTGGTATTCTAAAATGTATACAATACATTCACCAGCCACTTTGTTGGGTTCACCTGCTCAGCTGGACGTTAACGCGAATATCTAATCAACCAGTCACATGGCAGTAACTCGGTGGATTTAGGCATGTATACATGGTCAAGACGACCTGCTGAAGTTCAAAAGGCATCAGAATGAAGAAGAAACATGTTTCATGTGAGTTTTTGAACATGATATGCCAGACACGCTTGGCTGAGTATTTGACAAAACTGCTCGTCTACTGCATTTTCCCATGAAACCATCTCTAGGATTTATAGAGAATGATCCAAAAATGAGAAATTCTTCAGCGAGAAGCAGTTCTCTGGGTAAAAATGCCTTGTTGATGTCAGAGACGAATGTTCAGACTGCTTCAAGCTGACATGCACACAAATACTTGTTATAACCAAATTATGCAGAATCAAATCGCGGATTGCAGCAGCAGAAGACCACACTGAGTGCCCCTCCTGTCAGTTAAGAACAGGAAAAAGAGGCTATAGTTCACACAGACAAATGATTTCCGGTCTGATGAGTGTCAGTTTCTGCTGTGACATTTGGATTTAATGTCAGAATTTGGTATAAACAACAATAAAAGCATGAATCCATCCTGTCTTTTATCAGTGATTCAGGCTGGTGAATGTTTACTGGTGTGTGAGCAATATTTTCTCTGCATACTCTTAGCCCCTTACTACCAGCTGAGTGTTGTTTAAACTCCACAGCCTACCTGAGTATTTTTGCTTTATTGTTCCTTTATGACCACGGTGTACACATCTTCTGATGGCTGCTTGTAGCAGGATAACAGACCATGTCAGAGAGCTCAGATTATCTCAATCTGGTTTATTAAACATAACAATGAGTGTGCTGTACTCATATGGTCTCCACAGTCACCAGATCTCACTCCAATGGAGCATCTTTGGGATGTGATGGAATGGGAGATTCACATCATGGATGTGCAGCCCACAAATCTGCAGCAACTGTGCGATGCTGTCATGTCAATATGGACCAAAATCTCTGGTGAATGTTTCCAGCAGCTTGTTGAAGTCAAAAGAGGGTCCAACCCAGTACTAGTAAGGTGTACTTAATAAAGTGTCCAGTGGGTGTATATCTGTTCAGTGCATAACCCACAATAATATATAAACCCCTCCAGTAAAGCAGTCAAAGTCAAAGCTTGTGTAACCCAACAGTAACTTAGCTAATCAGAGTTTGTTTAGGTCAGTGGACGCCACCATCTGATTAAAAGTTACTCAGTCCAAAAATGACTTCTTGACCTGCGTTACATCACTGAGCGCGTGTGTTTATTGGTGAAATGCAAACAAAGAAAAACAAACAGAAAAGAGGCGGTGGGTACCTTTGGTTTAGCAGAGGATCATTATGTTTCATGGTGATTTAAAGCTTTATTGGCTTAGAATTCAATACAACAAATGGCAGTGTGGGGTTTTTTCTTCTTTTCTTTTTTTATATAAAACAGTATTTTCAAACACATTAGGGGTTTTAGCTATTTGTCACTTACTTTGCTTTTGATATGGCATTAAAATATAATACGATTTGTACTTCCAATCCATGTAAAGGGAGAGTGTCTGGCCGTGTTTATGAGAGCCTGAGAAGAGAGACATTTTTTGTCAGGGTCAAACGGATGTTCAGTGCGTAGCCATGGGAAGGAAACTAGTGATATGCGGGTGCTTGGATGATGCAACAGCTGTTGGGTAAGCTAACTGCTTTCCCGGTGACTTTTTCTTTTTAATTCAAAGACTCACTGAGCCAATTCTTGCAAACTTTGGACTAAAACCTTTTCAGCCCAAGCGAGGGTAAGCTGACACATGTTCAAGCTACGAGCATGGACATTTTGTAATGAGCGCCATGAGGTTCTACTGTACTTACAAAGTTCCACAGGAATCAACAGCGAGAGAAATAGTAGGAAGAAACGAGCAAGAAAGAAAAGAAAGGCGGTTCCACTCGAAGCAAAGCAAGAAGTAAAACAAGCGCATTCAAACCAAAGAACATGACCCTGTTCATCGTCCAGTCTCATTCTTTGTCATTTTTGAACGCGGAAGAGATTCCCGCTCATCGTTGACAGTGCAAGTCTAACAGGACAAGTCTTTCAGTACATAGTCTCAGGAAGCATCAGAGCAAAGAGTCCAGTTCATGGCTTCCGTGATTATGTCAGGTTAAAACAATCAAATTTTAAAAAAAGAAAAGAACAAAAAATATATATAGAAGAAAAGGAAATAAACCAAAACCTACATCTAGATTACAGCTGCTGTGTGCTATCTGAATGTACAGAAAATGCATGCGGCTCTGAGTGCTAGAAGAGCTTGGCCTTCTTTTTCATGTCGTTGCGTTTCCACAGGGGAAGCCTGTCAAACTCCTGGATCTCCATTCCAAAGATGTCAAAGAACGTTTCAGGTGCTAAGTGGCGCTAGAAGTGAGAACAAAGGTGGAGAAAAAACAAAAGGAGGGGAGGGTGGGGGGTGTTCTCAGTTAGCACCAAAGCCATAAAAAAAGAGGTCACAACAGAAACGACAAGAAGCAAATGGATACTGCATATTCCTCGCTACGGTCGAATTTGTGTAACATGCTCTTTACACAAAGCAGAGAAATGCAGTATTAATTGCAGAAGGTCAGGTGGAAAACCGATACCTCCAGTCTGGTTCTGTCCACATCCCTGGGCAGTTTAGCTCTCCCTCTACTGGTTATCATGAGCATTTCATAGGGATACACCTTCAGGAGGAGACATTCATCAGTGGACAAGTCAGATTTACAAGCTTTTGAGTTCAGCTTCAGAACAATTTACAAACCATTTTCATGAAACAAAACTATAAAATTGGAACATTTTAGTAATTCTACTGCGACACAGGGAGCACTGGGTGGGAGAACAGGTATGTGACAGGAGGCTGACTGGGTTGTTGTATTTTTTTTAGTCACTGGGGAAATGCAGGTGCTATGACGTGTGCACTTTCTTTCACTTTGGGTGCCGAAACGTGCAACAGATTAGGGGGAAAACATGGAAACAGAGTTACGTAACAGGCTGTAATTTTTAGATTAATTTAAAGCAAACTAAAAAAAAACAAAATTGTAATGTAGGCCAAGTAAATCCACATGGGTATGACTGTCCTGGAAATCTAAGGTGTTTGGATTTTTTTTTTAAATAGCTAACTCCTTTGGTGCAAGAAGAAATTGATCACATTCAATGATAAGCAACTAGAAGTTCTTTGAAGCCTCTCACCAACTCATATCCACACAGTAATGCATATACGCCATTATATACTACACAGTATATAGTGATATGAGTTGTTTGGATGACAATTTGGGCGTTGGATTCTCTACTGTATGGTGCATACAGTATCCAGCCACTTTAAATCAAAGCTATGTGCAGATGAGCATGGAGAAGCCGGCATGCTAAGCGCTAGAGTGACTCGGCAGCTCCTAAAGCAGCATGCTGAACCCGGCTAAGGTGAGCCTTTCACTTCCTGCAAAAGTATTTCTTCCACCAATGTCCCCACACTACAGGGTTTATGCCATATCGCCTCGGACGTTTTTGTTTTTTTATCCGGATGAGATTTATTACAGTAAAAAAAACTCCATTGAAGAAGTGAACAATATATAATTTAAAAAAGAGATCTATCTACAGTATGTAGATTACAGTGTCATCAGTACAAAAAGAAGAAGATACTTGCTTTCGGTTCCAACATATTAGGCATAGATACTCCCCTGTCCATCCTTGCAAGTGCTGCACGGCCATCCTTAATGTGCTAAAGAACAGAACATACACAAATGTAATATAGTGGAAGGGGACTGCAGGGATAATGGCATGAATATGTCCACTAATGACAGTGGGCACAATTTTCACTGGATGGAGCAAGTAGCCTGGATACTGTTCGGTACCTTAAGTAGTATTTACGATGAGCAGTCATTTACATGTTTTCTGAATGACTACGTTCCCTCAGGTGAGTTTTAAAATGACACAGCTACATACTGAGTTTAGCTTTGAGTCATAACACTGATAACACAACACACAGAACAAGGCATGAGGCAATGACTGTATATTGGACTTCTAGTACACTGGTTCAGCTACCGGGCTGTGCATGTTTGATTCTCATATTCGAGGGATTTGAAATCGCTCATGCCCCGTAGCTGACAATAATCCAACAGTGATGCAAGCATGTAGCAGGAGTGGGCGGTGTGCATTCAGGGCAAAATTTTTCTTGGAACCCACGTGCAAGCAAAATGTCTGATGCAAGATGAGGAGGCATGCCATGTGAAAAAGCAGATGAGGGACATACCTGAAACTCTGCAGGACAAAATGGGACAGAAAATGAGACTCACAGTTAATGGTTTTTGCTGTCAAGTCCCCTGCCAAGCTACTATTTACAACACTGCTGTCCTTTGATGACACACGCGAATCATTGTGCAAATATTTCAAAATGCATGTCTACTTATGTACATGTAGCAAGCCGATTCTGAATACTGCTGCTGAATAGCTCTGGTGAAAACTGACAAGAGATTTGTTGGGTGGCTGTTTTTCGGTAGTATCGCTCACCTCTGCCTCCTCCGCACATGTCCCCATAGCTGTTGTACTGGGTGAAATCTGTGGACTGAGGCTGCAGGAACACACGAACAGTACATCAGCATTAACATGTCGGCATTTTCTTTCTCAACTGAGACGTTCATTTAATTTTTAATTGAAATATTTAAGGCACATCAGGAATTAGTGTTTCTGCTACTGATGTCAAGACAGACTGCATTTGAAGGTGGACTTATTATACTCATTTCCAGCTCCATGTTTTATTCTGGAACTCCAGTAAAGTAGCATTGCATAATTTAAAGTAAAAAAAGAAAAAAGTCCTTACTTATCTTTTACAGGCCCATTATGCAACCCCTTAGTTCAGTCTAGGTCTCAAACACATCATTTTAACTTCTGTCTCTTTAAGGCCCACTTGACTCCAATTGGCTGCCCCTCGCCTGGCTTTGCAAACACATGAGAGTGCTTGTAAGGCCTGCCCCACAGTTATAACCGTGCCCGAGATGACCATATAAGAAAAATGTGTGCAACTCTGATGTCAGTAGTTGGCAAAACATTGGAAATCAAGGATTCAGAGAACTCTGCACCCTTTGCCATTAACCTCATTATGTAGTGGGTATTCATATAAAAGTATGCTCTCACCCGATGTAGCCCATTTCTTCCATAGCCAGGCAGAGAGTTCGTTTTGGTTGGAGAAGGCTGATCTGAAATATGAATGTTGGCCAATTAATAATTAATTACTTATATTTGTTTTTAGATTTTAAAAAAATGAAAATCAGGAATATACCATGTTAGAGGATATGGTATATTCTAACCTATAAAAAAAAAGGATCACCAAGCTGCTCTGTACCTGCATCACAGCTGGTCTGTTTGGGATCGTAGCGCTGAGCCGAGAGGCTTCGTGCATGGCGCTCCCTTATCTGCTCTTTTTCCATCTCCTCCTTCAAAATGAGCTTCCCCAAACCGGACTGAATCTACAAACACGCATACTCATAAGAGTTACACAGCTATCGAAAGCTTTTGGAAAAACAGATGTATTGCATCTAATATTGACCGTGTTTGTTGACGGTGAAGCTACTCGACCGACCTTACTGAGATGCTCCTCCTGGAGCAGCTTTCTTTTCAAAGCTTCTTCCTCCTCCTCTTCTCTAGATCTTCTCCTCCCTTCTGAACCTACAGGTTCCAAACACAAGCCGAAAAAAAACAGATGAACAAAAGCATGCGTATGGAAAGTCACGAAGACACGTCCCTGCAGGATTCCATGCTTCAAACATTCTTGAATAGTACGACCACATTCAATGTTTCATTCACATTTCAAACGTAGACAGAAAGAGAATAGATATGGCCGCCTTGTTTGGGCGCCGAGCAGGGAGAAATACACACAGTAAATGGTGGCGGGTCGAACGCAAATGTGAGACAGAGCTGACGAGACAGACAAACAGAGGGACTCATTGGAATATTTGACTACACCGACATGGCAGAAGTTTACACTTCGCCGCTCATGTCGAGTTTTAAAGATGTCAAGTACACAGAACAGCACAATGTAAGACAGACAGACAGAAGTTTGAAGTCAGTCTCAGTTATCTCTGTCCAAGTCATTTGTGGTTCCATTGCATACAGCTAAAGGCCCCGTCGTGTGCAGTAAGGGAAAGTAAAATGGAGAAACTGATGCTGCCTCAAGCAGAAAGTAACATGACAGCAACAGAAACCAAACAACGCTTCTTCAGTTTTGCGCAAGCAAAAAACACAAAAAAACGCAAAAGGCAAATACTGCTATGTCTGAACAAGAGTTTAAGCCTGGGGTAAAGCAGGGATGCAGTTAAGCTTCTGGGGGCAGCTATAGGGTTGGAAACAGGAGAGTTAGGTGGCAGTAAGGTGTCTGTTGTACCACTATGATAGCAGCGCGAACATGCCCAACAGGAGCCTACTGTACCTAACGCAGTGAGCGAGTAGGGCCAGCGATCACCCTCACTCCGTGAGCTGTCATCTGGAAAGGGAGCATGGGCAGCGGGGAAGGTGGCAGATCTGATGATCTCATCAGCAGACTTGCTTTGGCGTGCTATGGAAGCTGTATCTAGGTTGGTAACCATGGGAACTGAGCTATCAGTGTCTGGGTCACAGCCTAAACCACAAGTAAACATCTTTGCACCATCTGATCGTCAGGCTCAATGATCATTTAATCCAGGGTCATCATCATTTTCATAAATATATATAAATATACAGTCTTTCTTAACAAGCCACTCCATAACAGAAAAAGCTTGACCTTTTTTCTTATCATAGAAGAAGTGGTGGATAAGACTCATTGTGAGTATTACGCGTATAATTAAAGAAAAGCCTCGAGTGTACACGTGGGTTTCCATTTTAATGCCAGATTGTGGAATTTCCTCTTACTGTTAAGTAATATAGATAGCACACGGAGAAAGACACCGTAGTGACAGTAACGCTCATCCCCCTTTGTGAGTCTCTACTTTGAAACGTGCCACAGGTCTTGCTTGTGGTACCCACTGCACTCGCTCTTGACTCCTGGAAAATGAAGAGTGGTTATCCCGTAATTGTCACCACTCCACAAATGCTGCACAGCCTCGCTTCACCTACAGGCCAAGCGCTGCTTTTACTGCTATGACTTGTTAAGACGGACAAAGTAAAACAAGCTACAGGTCAGACATAAAAGGATTGGAGACAGACTTCAAACATTGCTTGTACACTGACGGTGGCTATGGTTAGATGAATACACAGCTTCAGTTGACCTCAATAACACATAGAGTAGTGGCTACAGTAGTGCTTCCCAACCTTTTCAATAAGAGGAACTCATTTAGACATTCATATTTTTCTTAATTTATACAAATATTGGGTTTTGGGGTTGTTTTTTTTAATTGCTTTTCATACAACTGCCAGAGTTGTGGCCTGCAACCGTAACAACAACTTCATGTTTTGCCAGTTTTTGTTAGTTTTAGCTTCATCATCTTTGGATTTTTGTGTCCACTTTGTATGTATTTTTCACACAATTCATAACAGGTATCCGGTGGGGAATCACTGACACAAATTAATCGTCAAAAGAGAATTTAGTTTCTACTGCAAAAAAGATCATAGTATAACAGGAAAGGTACCGTGTTGTTTGTAGATGGGTGGCTTTCGATAGATGTTGCTCCCCTGATCTGAAAACAGACATATGCAAAAGACATTTACAGACCATACCGTGCTTTGATGAGTAGAAATGGTTAAAAAAAAATCTAGTGTAAAAACAAACGACAGTAAGTCATGCTACACCGGGATTTACATTAAAACGTGACCTGTGATACAGCTCTATGTGTTTTTTTATTAAAAAAAGAGAGAGGGAAAAACAAAATAGCTCCCAAATGGAGAAGAAAGAAAGGAAGAAAGAAAGAGCAGTGACAGGGTGCGCTCCAGCTCCTACCTGGGAGGTGGAAATGTTTAGGGGTCTGAGAGAGAGGCGGGGTGACCGGCCGGCTGTCGGGCCTGAGCGGTAGGGGAGAGCTCCGGCCACTCGGCGGGTCGGTGCCTCCAGTGAGAAGAACCAAGAACAGAAGGTAAGCAGGGATACTGCAGGGGAACCACAATTTGAACGGTGCAACACACAGGGACCAACGGGACCAGCTGAAGTCATTCTGAATGAATGGGGCGCATTCTTTTTACTTTGGATAAATGCGATAAATGGGGCCGAGAAGAAGCAGAGCAGCGGCGTTCTGAATTTTGAGATTAAATGTTTGGGAAATGTGTTATGGGTAATGAAGTTTGATGTCTGTTAGCCTGTTTTATAATAGGAATTCAGAGTTAAGAAGTTAATACCACCCTGCATGCAGCAGCATACCGACACTATAAAGCAGTAAAACCTTTCTTTCTATCTCAGCCGCACAGTTTACTGGAGTCTGGAGACTCATTCAATGCAATACAATGCCAAAGAAATATTTATATATATATCCTTCGTTCAGCACACACAGAAGTATTAGTTAGGATGTAGGGTTTGGATTACTGATACCTCTCTAGTGCATGCAAAGATGTAAAGCACAAACACAAGGAGCCTGACAGCTACTTGGCCAAAGGTGAAGTCAAAGCAGAAGAGGAGCAGAGAGCATGTCAGCGGCTTAAAAAAGCATGGGTTTGACCGAAACATTTAGGCGAGAAATGTTGATGGGTCCAGAATGACAGAGTGGGCACTGACGGGAGTCGCTATCCAGGTGATGATGGAGATGATGTGTTGCCTCCGGGGCGGGGGGCGCAGAGAGGGGGCAGCAGATAACAGTGGAGTGGGGCCCTTACCTTGGCTATGGGGGAGGAAGTGGTGTCTGAAAGGGGAGGTGGGGCGGGAGTCACTATTTCTGGAGCCCACACTGTTACTGCACAGGGAGGAGCAGAGCTTCTGCATGCCTGTCAGAGCCTCTGCCAGGTGGGAGAAAGAGTGTGGGAGGGAGGGAGAAAAACCCCAGGACCAGGCAATAGAAGTGGACAGTACAGGACGAGGGAAGGAGATATAAGGTGAGACATTGCGGGGCAAACGATATACGGAAAATACAGAGGGGTCAAATGTTGAAAAGAAGAAATAAAAGACACCCAAAGTGAGACGTAAGGAGTATTCAAGATGAAGATTTGTTACATTCTAAAAGCAAAGTTTTATGGAAAGAACAGCAAACTCAAACTGTGTTGTAAAAGGGGCAAAACTGACTTGAAGGTAATTACTCTGCAAATGGATTGTCTGCCACGTAAATCAAAGCGAGGCAAAATAACCTCAAGTCAATTTTGGTTACGTTCAACAACACAGGGAGGGAAATGCAAACGTTAAGGCCAGGCTGAGCGAGCTCTGAATCATCATCATCACCTGTTTATCAAAGATTTTTTGGATCCACTTTATGAAAACCCTGAAATCACTACAGTAATACACACAGACACACAGACACACAAAATGAGTCTTTTCGAGGACCTACCTGGCCGGTGAAAATGCTGCGGCGACCGTGACAAAGTGGGGGTGTATCCATGACGATTATAAACTGGTGATCCTATGGAGCCCTGACTGGTGGACCTCTGAAGGATGCGTTCCCTCCTGTCGTAAGATCCCTGTCAACACAACCGAGTGATTACACAAGCTTCTGATGAACGAGAGCGCACTACACTGGACTGTATTTACTGTCGCCTACAGCAGGACAGTGAGTTTGATGGATTCGCTCACCTCACCAGATGGGGTTGGCGACATGTTTCTTGAGGACTACAAAGAAATCAAACAACTCTGAATTATAACTTTGATTTTCACAAGAACATTAAAGGAAAAGTCGAATTAAACTTTGCTTCCTTTTTAGCCATGCATCTAACCTTGTCATCCGGCAAGGGGGAACGTTCCCTCCTGGCAGTGTGGAGCTGTGAAGGACCCAGACGTTCAGTGAGGCAAAAGATCTTTTATCACAGAGTGAAAAATATCTTAATCAGTAATAGAGTCCTTTGTGTTTATTATATCCTCTCTCTCTTTTTTTGTTGTTGTTGCATAAGAAAAAATCCGTCCGGAGGAAAATCATGTCTCATTTGAGTTTTATTCATGGACCGTTTTTGTGTGCACACAATAAGAAGCACGCAGTCTGTGTGTTTACCTCTCCCACACTCTCTCGTCTCTCCTCTCTCTCATCCAGGGAGGTGGTGTACATAGGTTCATAGGTAATAAGATCGGGGCGCTCAATGTCATAAATGGCTTTGACTTTTGGAATGGCAGCTAGGTCTCTGTAATCAAGGATCTCATTGTCTACTTTTGCCTAGGGAGACAAACAAAGACAAACGTGCACACATACACAAGAGTACAGGGAGATTACTACTGCTGTGCAAGGTGCAGCTGTCAAACAGCAGTTATGCTAAAAAAGGTGTGGGAAGGGTAATATCATTGACAGTATTTACAGAATCTATTCAGACTGTAGCTCTGTTTGTGACATTTCTTACATAGATAGTGTGACCCGGTGAGCCAGGTATGCTTGAACCAGGTCTGGAACAAATACTCTCAGACGACGACCTCGTCGGCTATGAAAAAGAAAACACAAATGTGGCTGTTAGTCACATCAATACCTGTCAGAGCAGTTAGCCTACCAGGATCCACAGCCCACTGGCACCTGCATATTAGCCAGGATTGTCACCTGGATATTATGCATTATTAGTACACGGTTGGTCTTTATACTGTATGAGGGATGAGAGGGAACGGCAACCCCTGTATTTACGTTTCATGAATTATATGAAGTACTTTGGAACACTAACATGTCATCTCATGATTAAGTCATTCATTTGCAAATTTGCAAAGTGAATGAGTGATTTAGTGCTGTGATTTGATGTTCTTAAGGACCTCATGCCTGCTTATGGGAAATGAACTGTCTGAATGGCAGCAGCAGGTCTGCACGTGGCATAATTGAAGCTTTTCGCCGAATGGGTAAATGTTGATTTTAGGAAAAAGCCACATCAGTCGTCTGTGTCAGCTCGTCTGCTCCTTTAAATGTGCGAGCACCTTTGTCTCATGCGCCGTCGACATGTTCAAAGACAGGACTGAATGGCTCCGTATGACACACAGAGAGAGGGCACTGCAGGCTGTCTCCAGCAGATGGCAGCATACAGTGCACTGTGTCCTATGGACATGGTGGAACACAGGATGATGCCATCTCATAGCCAATAGCGAAATACAGTACCTGCCTTTCTGTTTTTTGGAGGAATAAGAGGGACGGAGGCATTAGCTGTGGAGGAAGGGAGAGGGGGAGGGGGTTTCACAGGACATCACACAGGGGTTGTACCTTTGCTGCCCGACTCACAGTTCACACATACATCAAGGTGAACGTGGCCACGCGTAAATATGCATATGAACAAATATTTATATACACACACATAACACATGGAAAGGCAAACACACACACATACACACACACACACACACACACACCTGCTTCAACAGGCAAATTATTTTACAGCACAGTAAGTTAAATTTTAACAGCAAGGGAGTGATAAAAGTGTGTTTAGTTAAATATTCCAAACTCTATCTTTTCCTGTAAAACATTTCCGTGACACATAAAAAACCCCAAAAGGTCCCAGATTCCTACCCGCTCCCTGTGCCTTTCTTCTGTTCTCGTGGTGTTCTTGCACCCAGGATGCCAGACTGTTGACCCTGTGCAGGGAGACAGAGAGAATAGATTCAGGTTAAAATGATTAAACACATAAATTAAATTTTATTCATAAGAGCTGCTCATGCTCTAATCAGGGGTTGTAAAACATAAGGCCCATGGGGCAGAATTGGCCCAGCAAAGACTCCATTTCGGCCCGGGGGGGGGGGGGGGGGGGGAGGGAAGGTAGGAGAGGGGAACAAGGGAAAAAAGTTTCAATTTTTAACTGTATTTTCACAAGTTTTACAGCTTTTTTCTATTGATAAAGACTTCAATATGTAATTAAATAATAAATAAACAATCAAATAGCCTAAATAATTCATATTTTGTCATTACCTAACTATAGAAATTTGTGTTTTTTCACAATAGCTCCACAGTAAAAAAAAAAAAAGAAAAAAGAAAAAAAAGGAACAAATAAATCTGGACCAACTGTAATTTTACACACTTATTTACACAATTATAGTCTTGCTGACAGAAATACTTCATTTACTGCAGCAACATTTCTATTTCATGGAGAAGAACTGAGATGAAATCGCACTTCTTTTTCTTATTGATTCTAGGATAAAGATTTCCCACTGCAGAGACCCAGAGCTGACAGTGTGCCGGGGATTCATCTTTGACAAGTTAAACATAAAAATCCACATAAGTAAGAAGACAAAGAAGGTTACGAGAGGATGCCGAATGGTCTGAGAAAGGAAGTGACGCAAATCATTTCTTATGTCCTCCACGGTCACCAAATCCCAACATCTAAGAGATTTTAGAGTGATGTGTTTTACAGTGTTTTTCAAATCTTTGGGAAAACAACAAAAGAAGTATTGCTCTGCACTTCAAGACTTAAAGAATGTTGAAAAAATGTTCATTTTGACCTCGTTTTCACCAGCTTTTCACTCCCATCATACTGCAGAGGAACCAGTCTCTGGGTTTACAGTGGCACAAACATGCGTCTGTGGCTCAGGAAGGTAATCTGAATACATCTACTGGAGTGTGGCTGTTAAAAAGACAGCTTGCAGAGAATAAAGAGCTTTGTGAGTGTGGTTTTTAGTGTATAATCTCCTATATGAATGTCAGACTATTATAATTTACACCCTTATGACAGAAATAACTACAATTTTCTTTACATTTTCTACCTCCTAATACTATTTCCTCCTTTATAGCTCTAATAGTTGAATAAAATCCGTTTCATAATGCTAAACTTTACTCAACCCAAAGAGGAGTGTTCAATTTATCAGTGTCAGTTAACAAACACACACACAAAAAAAGAAGCAAAAAGGAACAAAGTTTTGATGAGGCAGCAGCAGCACATGTAGATCCGCTCACCTTGCAGATACATCTCTTCTCCTTCTGTGAACATCTGATTGCACCTGCTGCATCGCGCACAGCTGGGGTGATAGTGCTTATCTCCTGCCTGGAAAACACGGAGCGCAAAACAGACTTGGCATCGTGGGGGGAAAAATGAAGACGAATGAAGCCTGCAGTGGGACAGGTGAAGCTGAGCTATGACTTCCAGGCAGTAAACCTTGTGCCCCACCTGCTCTCAGCTGCGCTCGCTTCCTCGAACAGCCCATGTTAGGAAAGAGAGCGTTTCATCAGATCCAGTGTGCCAGTAGTTTCCTTTCTAAAGGATTGCTTCACATGCAAATGGGCAGCAGCGGGTGAAAAAAGTTTCCCTAAAAATGCCATTCAGCATCTTTTCACGTTTTTCTCAGTAGCTCATGGAGTCAAGTGAGGATCTGTGTGACTTTACTGCATCACATTTTGAGAAATCATTTAACGTATTCCAGTCAAACATCTTACTATTTTAAAAAGATGAATATGGCGGTTCAAAAAGGCACAGTCAACCTGCTTTCAAGTATCCGACCGTCCGGCTTTGTACCTTCCTTTCATAATGTGCTCCAGTAAAATGGTCTGACAGCTAGATCGCCCAAACTTCCGTCTATACTGACGTACCACTTTGCATGTGGAGCGTTCTGTTAAAAAGCCCAAGCAACCTTGACCACGGGTGATAAATATCCAAATGAATCGCCTGCTGTATAACAACCCTCATTAAGAGGCAAGTGGCTACTCAAAGATATGAAGCCACAGACTAATATTTGCATTTTACTGCATGAGAAAAAATGACTGTGGAAGAAACTTTATAGTGCCTTCTACCCAGCACTCTGCCAAACTCAATTCCCTTTCAGCTATAATAAAAGTACTTCTGCTACATGTGCAGCGTACCATTACAGACACTCCCAATTCCTCTCGATCTCTAACAGCACCGTTAATGACCCCTACATTAATAAGCCATTCGCACTGCACTCCCAAAAGGAACAGACTATATGCAACCTGCTGATGGCTTTACAGTATTTGGCCTGGGTCTTGGGTCAGTGATTAGGCTTTCAGACTTTGGCTTTGGCTTCACTGATCCACTGGCAGCAGCTCAGGGATGAGACCCAGCAGCCTTTTCCTATTGTCATAAAGGCCTGCCTTAGTGTTGGATTACTGTAAGCCTGGTTGGCTAGCAGTGACATTTTCATACCATTAAATGACACATAACTCAGTGTCTGACCGGATCACTGTTTGCAGAACAAGCAGGCTTGCATATGCTGGAGATACTAGTGAACAGACACAGTGTAAAGGACATGCGTGTTTTTTAAGCGCAGTTCTAATAATGCCTAAAAAGTGTTTCATAACAGGTGATAGCATGGGGATACCAGTCACTTTTTAAATGTCAGATCACATTCCCTCTTATATAATATTTATATCATTTATGCCTGAGCGTGTTTTTGCAAATGTGTATTTAGGCAGGAGTTGAGAAGACCTAAAATCTGCTAAGAGTTAATCTTTTAGTTGAATACAGTCGTGTCAAGAGTCTGTTTGGCTCGGTGCAGAGGAGATTACACCAGAGATTATCAAACTACATTTCACAATTCTGCTCCATGCAACATCCCCTGTGTGTGTCTGCATGAGAAGCAGAAAGGCAGACACACTCTCAAGTATTAAAGACATCTGAATCCAAAATAATGCAAACAATCTAAACTTTAATTGTACTTTCCCAAAAATTATAATTAAAAATCATTTAAATTCTAGTGATTTAAGGATTTAAACGCTCAGGATTCCCTCAAACTTACCTAAGGCAGGTTCTCAGGAAACTCAGAGGGCGGCCACACAAAGAGATATCTGCGCATACTATGAGTTAAATGTGATATGGATGCGTGTGTGTGTCCTTACCTCTAGCACCTTCCCTGTGATGAATTGATGGCACGCCTCACACTGAACTCCAAAATGGGTCTGGTAGTCCTTCTCACAGTAGGGGGCGCCATCCCTGTGAGGCGAGAGACACACGTGGAAACGCTTGACAGTGAAATATTACATGGAGCGTGAACCCTGTGCAGGCCTAAATTCAAGCAAGCAGCCTATAATCACAGCAGATATGTGCTCCTTACTTGCTGATGTACTCCCCGGTCAGCACTTTGTTGCAGGCCTTACACTTAAAGCAGCCCAGATGCCACTGTTTGTCCAAAGCAAGGAGAGCCTGTCCGTTCTTAATGTCTCGGCCACATCCTGCGCAATCTACGAAAGCAAAATAGGCGTTGTTTAAAAAGAACACACACACAACAAGAACATGAGTTAAAAGTTGAAGGAAGAATCTAATTAATACTTTGTTTGAAGGCTTGTTTAAAATAAAAACGCAGCCTTTACATACTAGCTGAGGCATCTTGTCACTTCTGACCCAAGACACTAGATGGTGATAGAGTGTAACCAGCAGCGTTCTGACAGCTGCCGCTTCCTATCATCCACTTCTCTCCTATCATGGTTCTAAAAGCTCCATCCATAAGCAAGTAGGATCCCGAGGCTCTAAAAGTGTAAGAGGTTGGTTTCTAAATGAACAATCTTCTTGTCATCTCTTCTTTAATGAATAGAGGATGAAAGGAACGCAGAGCCGACCGCAACCACAGGGGATGATAACTACGTGAGGCATAACAAGGTTGGGATGATGACGTGAGCAGAATCAGCATGCCTTATTTATAGGTGACCTTGTCTAAAAGCTCTCGAAACACCAACAGAGACACCAGTGGGGGATGAGGGAGGGAGAGAGGCAGCTAGAAAGAGCAGGAAGAGGAAGAGAAGGAAGAAAGAGAGGATCCAGAAGAGGAGGGGGGGTTTGAGGGCCACACAATCCAGAGGAAATGCACGGCCATGCATTATTTAGCGAGACCTGTCCTTGGTGTTATACATAAAGGAAAACGGATGGTCGGCACATGAGGCTGGGAGAGGTGGAGGATCTCCCTGAATGCTACAAGTTCTTTGTTTTTACTTCAATTGTAAGTAGGTTTTAAGGGAACTCCTGCACTGTGATGTGGAAAAGAACCATTTTTAAACCTGCTTAACCCCTTAGGATTTCGCTTCTGCTTTGCCTTCTGCTCACCTTACATACAAGGTCTTAAATAATCAGGCCCAGTCTTATCTTAAAGACTACATAGCACCATATCACTCCAGTATGCTGCAGGCTTACTTGTGGTTCAGTTGACAGACACCCTCTACTTTTAAGATCAGATTTAAATCTTTCCTTTTTGTAAAAGCTTATAATTAGGGTTGAATCAGGTGACCCTGAACCCTCCCTTAGTTACGCTGAAAAAGGCCTAGACTGCTGAGGGCTTCCCATGATGCACACCGAGTGTTTCCTCTTCACTCGTCTCTTTTCACTCTCTCTGTTTATTTACCTGCATTTAATCATCATGTTATGATTAAACTCTGCTTCTTTCCACAGTGTGTCTTTGTCCTGCCTTCCTTCCCTCACACCTGACCAGTCACCACAGATGGCCGCCCCTCCCCAAGCCTGGTTCTACCAGAGGTTTCTTTCTGCTTAAAGGGAGCTTTTCCTTCCCACTGTCACCAAATTCTTGCTCAGAGCGGGTCGTTTGTTTGTCAGGGTTTTCTGTCTATTATATAGAGTCTTAATATTACAATATAAAGCACCTCAGGGCAACTGTGTTTTGGTGTTACAGTATATAACTAAAACAGAATCAAACTGGCAGTTTGGCATGTAGGGAAATTTACTTTTGTGCCAAAGGTTTGACGATCGCTTGATACCACTTTATCATCTTTATTTATCAAATATGAACCTTCCCGGCAGTATTTTCCCAACGGTACCTGAACCTCTCACTAATTAACCGTTTTTAAAACAATAAATCTTGTTTGTTTAATCATTATGAAAACAAAAGAGTGAAAACTATTGACTAACTAACTTACAGCTATAACTTCATATCAAATACAGCGGAAGGCAAAATATCAGACTAGTAGTTTATTTGGCTTCAATGCCGGAAACAGTTACGTACAAACAGTTCTTTAAACCGAGAATCTCTAGATTCATTAAAAAGAATCATTAAAAAGAATTTTAATGTTGCTTGACCAGAGCGGACCCTACTCATTACACTACACAGCCCTGTGGTATATATTCCCCATGATCCCAGGCTCTGTTGATCCCAGGCACAGCTGTGCAAATATTCTCTTTAAAATTCTCTCTAAAAGTTTATTTTTCTTTTATTTATTCATTTTTGTTTGCTTAATCAAAGATGAACACCAGATTTTCTTTACTTTTGAGTCTTTTTGATCTGCGGTTCAGCATTACTCTTGAACTTGCTTGGCCTGATTCTAGCAGCACCGACTATCACACAGTTAAACGTCGAGCACATTTAGACAACGAATTATTGAACATGCAGCTTTCCTCACAGCCAAGCTGCAGCAGCACCTGCAAGTCTGGAGCTTAAAGTGTGCACTTGTGGTGACGTGGCTTTGTAGACGTAACAACAATCCAGCATGCTGCTGATTATCTTGTGCTAACTACATTGGCCTTTAGAGCTTTTCCAGTGTGTCTCTGGGCAATTGCTCACAACTGTTTAAGATCTCAAATAAATCGAGAAACACTTTTTACAGAAGTCATTACTGGTTCATGTAACTTCTCAAGTTAAGAATTGAAATACTTTAAAATTACCATGTGGATAGAAATGACTATAAAGTCTGTGGGTACAAAGTTTATGAGTAAGTAATGAATGACCCACGGACAGGCACAACTCCACATTTATTATAGATTTTCACATTGAACTGATTTTAAATTAATGCTAATAATGTGTGGGCAAGATGACTGATATGGACCTGAAAATTATTCTTCACAGCCAAAACATTACCACTAAACTGACTGGTCAACAGCTACATTAAATGCCACGTATGAATCAGGTCTGGAGGCTACGATTTTCCAGACTTTTTGTTTCTCTAAAACCAAATAAATTCCAATAATTCACTTTCAGTTCAAGTGTAAAGTCTATCAAACTATCATTGTGTGAAGGTTAATTCCTTTCTGTTTGTGTAACAGACAATGGCTACTCACTGCTGGAGCCCAGGATGTCCTTTGGTCCTGGAGACATGGGCTCGACACAGTATTGACAGAGACAGTCCTTTCCATTAAAGGTCACCCTGTCCCCGGCAGGAAACGGTCGTCTAGAAGCGGGGTGACATCAACAACCAGTCAACAAAGCTGCGCTCCCATGGTAAGTGTAAGAGTTTATTAGCTGTGACTTGCAGGTTGTTTGACGGTGGTGAAGATGACAGGGCCCAATGATGCGGATGTATGTCAACACTGTCAGCCTGGGGAGCTCATTTAGTCAGATGACGTAGACATGACACACAGCATGCTACTGTAAACTGTCTACTGGAATTACTCCTGCCATGAACTTTGCTTGTCCATGACAATCATTCCACGGAAAATTAAATTGTAGCTAAAATGGAGAGTCACACATGAATCCAAGAAAGTAAGACATGAGCAGCGTTAAAGAGAAGCACCTGTGTTGATTTTGCTATATTATAGAAGATATATTTTCAACTCAGAATATCATGTAATTGCAATTAGCAACTTTTCATACTTCACATCCCATATTTTATATTTTAGAGCTTATTTTAACAACTTATTGCTGCTTGTTGGTGCTCATTATTATTTTGCAATGCAATCACACTTACCACATGCCAACCTGGTGAAAGCAGTGAATGTCTTACTTGCAGATGGTGCAGACGAAGCAGGAAGGGTGGTAGGTCTTGCCCAGAGCAGTAACCACTTCTCCCTCAACAAAGTCCCCACAGCCATTGCAGCGGGTACCGTGCATGCGTTGGTAGTCCAGCGTGCACAGATAGTCTCCATTTTTCATGAAGAAGCCCCCCTGGGCAAGGTCACAGCCACATACTATAGGAGACACACAAATTGGCACTCAGTGAGTCAGGTCATTTAATGCTTTAAGGCGTTCAACCATCAAGGCTCACAACTTGTCCATGGCTCAGTGGCTTTTTTAACAACTGCTAGCCTGGAGTGTGTGAAATGGACGATGACGGGAAAATCACTGAAAAACACATATTAATAGCTCTGTGTGTACAATGGGAAGCAGAACGAAAAATCCTCTCATCAGCAGTGTTCACAGCCAGGCTATTAAAAAAAATCTTCTCGCTATGAAACATTGTTGCATTTAGAGTTCACGTCTATCAGTCTGCACTACTCTGGCAAGGCTTTTTTCACTTTATAGGTTCAATGCAACAACAATTCGGCAATTGTCCAGCCCAGGAAATAACTGTGATCTGTTTTGGAAGATAACTTGCTCAAAATGTTTGGTACTACACTGATAGCCTACAACAAGCTTCCTTCTATTCAAATGTAACCTTGTCATCTACACAAACATTCAAAACTGACAAGGTAAGAAATAGAAATTCACAAACAACTGAGGTGTTTGTGTGACAAATAAAATATTTTTACTACTCGGAATTTGTATGGCTGAACTTTGTGTTGGCATTACAACTGACTTAAATAATCATATGTGTGTAATAAAAAAAATCTGTGTGTATAAAAACTATCAGTTAAAGTAAGTATTTGTCTTTCATATAGTACTCAGAACATAGTATTCACTTATTAAAGAACATTATTAGATTTTGTTTTAGGAATTCCAAACGTTACACTTTACATTAAACAGAACATCAGTCATTGCAACATAATGAGAGAAGGTTGCACATTTTCATCATCAGCTTGCCCGTACGGAATATTTCAACCCTCCATAATAATCACTCAATCCGTGCAGTTCACCATTTTAGCACCGAAGAGAGAGCCTGCGAATTCAATAGCCCTTCGGAAATGCCAGAGCTAAGAGGGAAAATATTTTGATGTTTGAGATAACTGCACCTAATCATTCTTATGCAATGAGGCACGCTAAATCCTGGGGATGAATGGGAGCGGGTGAGGGAGTGAATCAGATTTAATTGCATTAAGACTCAGACATGATGAGATTAGCTTGTAAACTAAGTGAGTCAATAGGAAAACCAGCAGTGGAGATTTGATGTCCAGCTGCCCTGGCTTTTCAAAAGATACATGCCATTATGTAAAATGCCTTTTTAGAACCTCAGTGAGGTCGACTTATTGAATTGAAATGAAAATAACTGCAATGAAACAGAAACTTTTGTGCATTTAATGAAATTAAAGTGTACAAAAGGAGGCTATTTGGGATCCATCTGCAAAGGCATCTCTGAGTGTCAGAGCTCAGTCAGCCTGAGGATTACTACTAGTGAGGTTGGAGACTGATAAAAGCATACATCCAATTAAAGCAAGGACCAGGACACCGAGTCTTTTGGCTACTAAAGCTGTACTAGTGTCTACTTTGGCAACCTTCTCATTATCCTTATCATGCTTTTATCACTCCTGTGGCATGCACATGTAAAGGACCGAATTAGGCACTAATCTCACCGTTTGCTTGTGTTATTCTAGGCTCTCGATGAAGTAAGCTAACTCTTAGCACTCCAGTCTTGGATTAACTACAAAGGTTTTAGCAGAGCTGGCCCAAAGTGAGATGGGTTGATCAGCTGTGGGTGGCTACATAGTTCTCATGCCGGAGTGCTAGAAACCTATCGGTAATAAAGCTTAATGAACAAGGATTTGCACTGTTTCTTGTCATAGTAGACAGGATGGCACTTTAATTGAACAATGCAGGTCTGAGAAGTGAAGACGAGTCATGCCACCATGCATCCGTCCAGTCGGAAGGTCACAGAAAGGACGTTGTGGCATTAAGGAACTTGACTGGTCCTATAGTTCAAACTTTGTATGGACGGGATGCATTCTGGGACAGCAAAGGAAGAAAGAACTGTTTATTTGCACTATCGTGCTTCCTGAGTACAAACAGCGAGGAACATTCTTCATAACAAAACAAAAAAAAAATCAAACCAGTTCATTAAGTAGCACGGACTGAATGAAAGGCAGCTAATGTCCTACTATTGTGACAGGATCAAATTAGCAGAGAATTTTAAAACTTCACACTTTGGCTGCCAATTTTCACATAACTCCCACATTTTTCTTCTCCCGTTTAGTCTTAGTGGTATGAAAGATCATTTTTAAATTGTAAACACATGACTTATTTACTAACAACTGGTCTGTATTTTAATATTAAAGGCTTTCTGACATGGAATAAAGGTGAGAGAAATCACATGCAGTAAATACTAGTAAAGATATTTACTCATATATAATCCCCAAAGCAGTTTACCTCTTTACTGGAATTCTTGATAACACTTTATAATATGGCACAGGAATAACTATGCTATAAATAAATTTAAGTAGTGTGTAGGCAATTTTAATTAATGCATAACTGCATGATTTTAACAAACAATATTTCCTTATTTTCCATCCTAAGTACATTTTTTGGGACACATTAGAGAGTGGATTAATCTTTCATTTTTACATCTTTACTTTGTTACATCTCCATCTTTATTATTCACACCAAGCCAGCTTTTTAAAAATACAATCCTTTTGAAGGTTATGTTTGAAGTGTGGTTGAGGAGAAAAAAAAAGACCATAATCAACATCAAAGGTGTAAAAATGCAAGATAATAATCTAAGAGAGGAAAATATTGTTTGTTTTTCTGCAGAATTGCTATGAAATTATGTACAAAATACTTCCACTGTACTCAAAATTACTTACAACATAATTTGTGTTTCCTTCTCATGTAAAATACCAGAAGTTATGCAATACTTAAAATTACTACTTAAATTTACTTATAGTATTACTATTTCTTTGTTTCCTGACTTGTTATCCCCATATTCTAGCGTACCTAATTTATTTATTTGTAGGAAAATATAATTTGATTATAATTTCAAATAAAATGTATTTATTGTATACTGTACCTTTACATGTGAAGCACTTGAGGTGAAAGTGCTTGTTCTGCACCCGGAGCACCTCGCCCTTACATGGCTGCCCACACTTGTAGCACTGAATTAGGGGCTTCTCTGTAGAGTGGTGGCGTGTGTCCTGCGCATGAGCCACTGCAAAAGAAAGCAGGCACAATATCAACATTACTGCTGAGCTGTAATGCTGATGAGCCACGGGAATTGCTAGACGTGGCAGTCAATATGGTTTTTGTGACATCTCCTATAGTCAACAGTATTAGCATGCTCGGCACAAGGACCTGAATCTGCAACATCTCACAAACAGCAGAGCTGAAGAACAAGTGCTCAGAGCCTGTCAGCGTAAAAAGAAAAAGAATGACATTGAGCAGGACAGCGCAACTTTGGGTTCTTGGCCAGAGAGACTCTCTGGAGAACATCAGTCTAAATATAGTCTGTCTCCGTCAGTTGAGGATGGACAGTCAAAATGCTGAGGGGAGCAAGGCTTGGTAAATAGAGCACTAAAAGGGTATTGATAAAGACTGTTTCACTATTGAGTTTAATGTACTTTCATTCTCAAAGGAAAACCTAATTTAGAGTTATGGACCATTTACTGTCTCTGGCTAGCTTATCGTCCCAATAATCATTTGACTCTTTTTGACATGTAAGTGCAAATAAAGCTAGAGTCCATCCGGCAATGGGGTCACACTAACTGCAGAACCAGTGACTTCTGAGACAACTCTGCCTGCTGACAGCATCTTTCCTGTTTGTGACATTGTTGCACTGGCAAATCTTTGGACAAACTGGCAGACACATAAACACTGACACAAAACCACCTGCTCCAGTAGATGTCCTCAGGACCACATTTTTGAATGAAAACACAGACACACACGCTTAGACTCACAAAGTAAAAACCAGCCTCTAATAAAACAGAAGAGACGTCACTTTTGCTGTGACTGAGTAACTCACTCTATAAAAGCCATGAATGAATAAAACAATGGTAGGCAGCAAATAACAGTTTTATAAAGGCAGACACATGTCCATGATGTACTGAGAGTGTGCACGCATGAGGAGAAAGCGAGAATGTAAAGGAGCGGAGCCACTTTATAAAGGACACGAGTCTTTTAGTGCCGCTTGGAGCTTAATGTTTATGTCAGCATTCTATCGCGCTCAAGATGACAATGTCAGCATTGCTGATGTTATGAAGGTGCATTGCTCACTATGTTAGCGAGCTTAGATTTATTGACTGTTAACGCATTCATATACATTGGTGGTAATTATTATAAATTACTACCAATCACAAACACAAGAAGGTCTTATGCAATATACACCAAATATTCAAATTTGGATTAATTGAAGATTAACTGAACTAGATTAATTGAAAAAAGACTGTTGGAACTACACTTCATGTCACTCCATTTAATAGTTATTATTAATCTAATGGCTCTCTTCCATAGTTTCCTGTTCCCTCACCTCCATTTGTGGCAGATGGCTGCCTCTCCCAGAGCCTGGTTCTGCCTGAGAGTCTTCCTGTTAAAAGGCCGTTTTTCCTTCTCACTGTCGCCAAGTCTTTAGCTTACAATATAAAACACATTGAGGCGACGCAAGTCAGGGCAATCATAGGTAATTCCTATGGGAACCATGAATGTCTAGACCAAGAAAGGCACCAGTCTATCAAAAAAAGTTGGTTCTGTGGACGTGAAAATTGGGATGGTATCCGAGGATAACCAAACTCAGTGAGGCTCATCTTTAAGGCCATGAATGCCTATATCAACATTCAAAGCAATGGAACAAACTGAGAAACAGATTGAGATTTTTCAGTCTGAACTAAAGTAGTGCAACCACTAACATGGCTATAACATACTTGTTGTTCAGCCTCAGATCTTAATGTACAAACACATTTAGACATCATGTTCTTGGTGTGAGGTATTTTGACCATCGTTAGAATTATATAAGGCTAGGCTATTAATGGCAAGCAGCACCAGCATTATTTTTAGATCCACGATCTATCAGCATATGGCATTCCTCACTTAACACTTTGGGCATCCCTCTTAAAGACAGACGTTAATCTGCCACTATTGCACGGAACGTAAATACCGCTGCAGTGTCGCACTGCACACAGCTTATCAGCTGTTTGAAACCAGCAGATTATTTGACAGTCGGGAGCTTTAGCTGGCAAGGAGGCTTTCGCTTTTCCTTCTTTTGTTACTTCTTTCTGTCTCTTTTTCAAACAAAGACATACCCACACAAATATGCAGAGTCACAGTGAGAACAGACATGAAAGGCTCTTTTCTCTTTCTGCTCTGCAGTAGATCATTAGTCTGCAAGGCTAAAATAAGACACCGCCAAAATAGCGAATACTGAAATAGTATCACGAACAATCGATGGTCTACCAAAGAAAGAGATTACTCTGGACTTCTGATGACTTGCCCTACCTTGTGTCCCATTATTTACGTTTAGACTGGCTTACTAATGTTTAAAGACGGCAGAAAGAGAAGTCCAATTATTTTAAAAGGCATTTCAGCTATTTTTGATTTAAACTTGACTAAACCTTTATTGTGGCAACTCCTAAAAGGAATAACAACAACATAACATTATTCTATTTACATTTTGAAACACAAAGGTACAGAGTAGTTGTGAGATAACAGGAAAAAAAGGTGGACTATGAGTGGAGGATCTTTCTCCTTGGTGTTTCTGATGTGATTACACTCAGCAGGACAATGACTCATTTCTGGGCGAACCAGACTACTGTAAGAGTAAATGGAGTCCCAGCAGCTCTGTATGTGACATTGCACCTCGATGGAAAAACAGAGGCCATCTGGGTAACCGCTCTCATGAAAAATATCCAATCCAATAAGTCAGCCTCAGGAACATGCTAGAACAACTTAAAGGCCATTTCTTTTTCTTTCTTTCTTTTTGGTCGCATTTACTCGTACCAGTAGTAATAACACTGTGCTCATGAAGGAAACTGACAAGATTTAGTAGTATAAATAAAACGAGGAGGAAATTTTATATATAATTGTATATTTCTAACGATGGTCTAAATGTTAGCTGATCAGGCCAACTTGTACAAAAACTGACAAATGAAGTAACTACAATGACATAAAACCAAGAGCTAGTTTAATACTTCAACTTAACGTTAATCAAATAAAAAATAACTAAATACCTAAGTCAAATATCAAACGAACAAAAAAAAAAAAAAACATTTAAAGTTGCTGCATCTCCAAACACCCCCATTAGCACTTCCTCTGTTTGGGAATGCTACATTCCAAGGCCCATCTTTTGTTTATTTGACACATGACCTTAGCTGCCGGAAGCCTGACAAGTGAAATGTGTGTCAAAAACGAAGATAAGAAAATGTGTTCTACAAAGTGCTGGTACATGAGGTTGCTGACTGTGCCAGCACAGCAGGTTACTGGCTTTCTTTTTAGCAATCAAAACAACTTTCATAATGTTGCTATAAAACAAAATAGTAAATCAGCAAGATGTCATGTGATTTTAAAGGCTTAACCTTTAAAACTTGATTCATTATAACTTAAGAAAGGTACAACGAGCTGTAAACACAGAAATGTCATACAAACATCGTTCAAGTTAATATTCAACAATTAGCATACCTGACTACCATAGCATTTTCTGGATAAAGGCCCAGTAGTTATATTGTAACAAATTAATTGCTTTTTTTTCAATCCCTATCCCAGCTTTATTAAAGGTGCCTTCAAACAAACCCAATATTTCACACACTTTACAATGACTTAAGTCACTGCTAGCACTAGCAAGCTAGCTAAAACCACCCAAAGTAGAAAGAAGTTAACTTTGGAGTTACTGAAAATCCCTACCTGAGAGCACCTACCTCTCCAAAATCAAGCTACATTAGCTAGCTAGCCTGTAGCCTGTCTACTAGACCTACACTAAAATGTTCTGAACTCTCAATCAAACTTCAACAAAAAGCCACTTCAGCAAAAAGTGTCTGTACTACTTTGGGTTAATCTATGTATTGCTGCCTTTTATAGTTGGCATAATGGAGGGTAAAATGGTGCAGTGGATAACACTGACCTCACCAGCTAGCATGACCGCTAGGCTAATTTGTGAGTCTTGCTTAAAGAGTATAGAATAGGCTTCAATGACTGCATGGCAAAAATGTGGCTATGACTGTGGCTTAGACTGTGAATACAACTTTACAAATGCAACTGCAGTACATCATTGAATTTTGACTTATGTTTTTTTATACATCAAGGCTGACAAAAAGGTGCAATATGAGGTTTGCTTTTAGTTCCTGTTTGTTCTCCTAAGGGAAACAACAGACGTGGCTTTTGAACTATTATACCTTGGCATTTGGGGCTGTACTTATTGCCTAAAACGATTACGGATGGTGATAATTCTTTGAATATGTTAATACAAGTTAGACCTTTCGCATTACACAGGCATTGAACCAGCATGGTGATAAAAATATTCAACAGAGCAGCTTTAAAGTAGATATTTTGATTTGATGCCAGTTTCTATTTTTAACGCTTCATAGTGTTGCGTTGTCAGTGGGAGACAGCCCGGCACGGAAAAGTCAACACTGCTAACGTCATAACAGGTTGACAGAAATCCAAGACAGATGTTTGAATCCCATGCACAGAGGATCTAAACGCTGAGGTTTGGATGGGAATCCATAAGCGCTGTGTTTTTCCAACTTTGCCCCGCCTCTGCCCCGCTCTGTAAAGTACTGCCTTTGCCTGACTAGTGGCTGCACAGAGGGGGTTAGGAAAAAATGAAGCTGAGACGGGTACTCTACATGGCATTTCATTAAAACTTAAGAACCCTGCACAAAAAAGGCTGCTAAATTATATGAAATGCTACAGATTGGCTCATTTACAGGATTTGTCCGGACATGAAGTGCCTTTCTGAGGGGCTTCTTTCAAACATTTAGCGGTCCTGTATACATTCATAACTCCGAGTCTATAAAAGCATGAGTTCAAGCACTTTTACTTCAGCATCTTGGCATTTTAACAGATCCATTATTGAGTCTTTAGAGGTTCATGGGACAGCAGCAAGATGCTGTTCAGTTTGCCAGAATATATATCATATAATGCTATAAATAAGTAAGTATGCAGTACATGAAGCAACCTCAGCACAGAGCAACTTACTGTAAAATATATAGTAGTACAATTTTTCCA